TAACAAAAATGTACAGGGTCTTATGAAGAAAATTATGAAAGTTTTTTTTTGTTAGACATGAAATAAATCTGTATTAATATATGGGAGGAGTCAATATTACAAAGGTATCAATTTTCTGTATATTACCAACAAATTCAATGTAATTCCAATTAATATCTTTGTGTTTCTCAAGCATTTTAATAAGCTGATTTTAAAATTCAAGACTAAAGGATAAATGATAAGATAAATGATAAGACACTTTTGAAGTAGAAGAACAAGGTAGAAGTCTTGTCTATCTATATAAAGAATTATTATTAAAATACAGTAATTAGAGATATTTTTAAATATTTATTTTATTTTTTTAGTTTTCGGCAGACAACATCTTTCTTTGTTTGTGGTGCTGAGGATCGAGCCACATCCCCAGCCCCAAAATACAGTAATTAACTATATGATGTTGTTGAGGATAGACAAATAGACTATAGAACAGAGAGTCCAAAAGCAGACACAAGCATATATGGACACTATGATAAAAGTGATATTACTAACAGTAGAGGAAAGGATGGACTATTCAAGTGATAACCCTGGAACTGGAAAAAAAATAGATCCTGAACTCATATTAGATACAAAAACAAATTTTATATTTCTTCTTCTCTTTCTCTTCCTCCTGTCTTCTTTCTTCTTCTCCTCCACTTTCCTCCTCTTCTTTTTTTTAATATTCATTTTTTTAGTTTTCAGTGGTCACAAATCTTTATTTTACATTTATGTAGTGCTCAGGATGGAACCCAGTGCCTCATGCATGTTAGGTGAGCGCACTACCACTGAGCCACAACCCCAGCCCTCCTCCTCTTCTTTTGTTTATGGTGCTGGGGATCAAACCCAGAACCTTCCACACACTAGGCAATTGCTCTACTACTTAGCTACAACTCTGGCCAAAATTATATACTTCTTTGAGATTTCAATGAGAATAACAAAACTTTGCAACTTTGAGAAGAAAATGTAACAGCTTATCCTAATGGCTTCAAATAGAACTGCTTTGCACAACTTGAGGACACCATCTACTTTGTGCTTAGGGGGCACCATTTATATAGAACAATGTGAATGGACAGCCCTGAAGTTTTTATGGTACAGATCTTAAATGTCCCTCATGCGTTGAAGATTTGATACCCAGTGCTGCATTCAGAAGTAGAGCCTTTGGGAGGTTATTAGATCATTAGGGTTCTGACCGCATGAATGGATTGATTCATTTAAGGATTCATAACTGGTTTATTTTTGGAGACAGGGTCTTGAGATAAGTTGTTGAGGGTCTTGCTGAGTTACAAGGCTGTCCTGAAACTCATGATCCTCCTATCTCAGCCTCTCGAGTTGCTGGGATTACAGGCATGTGCTACTGTCCTGGCATCTTATGAATTTATAATCTAATAGGCTCTTGGGAGGTGGTAAAAATTTTAAGAGGTAGGGCCTAGCAGGAGGAAGTAGATAATTGAAGACATACCCTTGAAGGGTATATTTTGTCCCCAGTCCCTTCCTCTTTGCCACTCCTTTCTGGCTACTATGAGGTGAGCAGTTTTGCTTCACCAAGTTTCCCCATCATGATGTTCTGCCTCACCACAGGCCCACAAATAACAGAACCAAGTGATCATCACTGAAACCATGAACCCAAATAAATCTCCTTTAAGTTGATTTTCTCAGGCATTTTGTCAAAGCAATGAAAAACTAACCAACATAGTTGTGGATCTTGAAAGTCCAAATCAAGAAAGGGAAAGATACGAGCCAGGCATGGTGGCACACACCTATAATCCTAGCAACTCAAGCAGGAGGATCATGAGTTCAAAGCCAGCCTCAGCAACTTAGCAAGACTCTGTCTCAAAAAATAAAATAAAGGCTTGGGGCTGTCACTCAGTGGCAGAGCTCTTTCCTAGCATGTGTGAGGCACTGGGTTCAATCCTTAGCACCACATAAAAAATAAATAAAACAAAGGTATTCTGTCCATCTACAACTACAAAAATAAATAAATAAATAAATAAAAACAGCTGGGGATGTGGTTCAATGGTTAAGCAGCCTTGATTCAATCCCTGGTACCAAAAAAAAAAAAAAAGGAAAGATGGGTTAAGAGTGTACTTCAGTGGGAGAGTACTTGCCTATCATTAATAAGGTCCTGGGTTCAACTCCCAGCACTGAAGAACAAAAAGGTACATTATACTCTAGGATAGACACTCAGTTGTAGAAGGGCCTACACCCAACTCAGCTGATATCAACAACAAGGAAAATTAGGGAAAGGTCTATGTGCAGTTGTTATGCTCGAATTCAGGACCCCCAAAGACCACCAGAGACCCAAGATCGATGCAAGCAGCAAAGAGGTGTTTATTGCGAGCTAGCTCGGTCCTCTGCACGCACACACAGCAACTGGTGACGCTGAGAGGCCCCGAGCCCAGGGTTTGCAGCAGTTTTATACATTTTTTTGGAGAAGGCAGGGACTTCACATACATCATAGCATCCCTTAGCAAATCATCACACACCGCGGGAAAATCAAATAACAACTCTAAAACATGATTAGCACATTCACTGGTGGGAACAAGTTGGGTAGGGGTGATTGGTCAGTACAAAAGGGGTATTCATTTGAACTGATTGGTTTAAGCCAAGAGGGGTGTACGTGCTGAACTACATGGTTTCCCAACTTGTTTTCAACCACCATAAACCACTGGGAGGGTTATCTGGCATCCCAGGTATTTCCCTGTCTCATGCTGATTGGTGGCTGCTAGGGGGCTGCTATGGATCCCCACCTAGCCTGACTGAGTCAGGGACACCTGGCGCAGCAGATCTCTCCTGTTATTTGTAGATAAACAACTTAGCAGGGTGGGAATGTGCTTAGGAGTGCTCTGTGGGTTTTTCCAAGGACTAAGGTCATGTCCCTTCCTTGGACAGGCTTTGCTCTGAGGTAGAGGCTGGTTTTTCACAGTACCATACAGATCCAGCTCTACTTTTCTCTGACCCTCTTGTCTTTCCTTCATCTGTCCTAAGCTGGAGTCAGGATAGCTAGAGCAGTTCCACACATCACATTGAGGTACAATAAGATGCAGAGGAAGAAGCACCACCTCCTCTCTTCTACTGAGAAAGGAAACATTTCCTCGAAGTCTCTTGGGAGACTTTCCTTCAAAATTCATCGGTCTGAATTGAGTCACAATTTTATTCCTAAAACAGTCCCTGTGCCAAGGGATGTGAGATAAACATAACTGGTTTAGTAAAGCATATGGCTTTGTGGAGGAAGGTGGATACCTCCCCAGAGTGTAGTGCTCTAAAGAGAAGGAAGGAGGGAAATGGATGTTAGTTAATCAGGCAATCAACAGAATATTCTCCATTCATAAAGCTTTACTCCAGACATGATGAAATATTCCTCTATTTCCCTTTCTTCTAATTTTTGCCTTTATCTAGAATCCTTCTGAATAACACTTAATCTTTCCAAATTCCTAGATACCAGGAAAATAATGAATGAGTATGGCAGTCATTGGAGACTCCTATCTCCCAAAATGGAATTTAAAAATTGGGTGGGGCATAGTGGCACATGCTTATAATCTAAGCTACTCAGAGGCTGAAGCAGGAGGATCACAAGTTCAAGGTTACCTTCAGCAATTTAGCAAGACCCTGTGTTACGGTTTGGATATGAGGTATCTCCCTCAAATCTCCTGTGTTCATGCAGGAGGTAAAATGATTAGATTGTGAGAAGTATGGCCTAATGGATGGAATAATCCATTTGATGGATTAATAATTTGAAATGACTACTGTACTGGGTGGTAACTGTAGGCAGGTTGGGCGTTGCTAAAGGAGATAGGTCACTCTGGGCTTTCCCTGAAAGTTCACCTTCCCTGTAACCCCTCTGCCTTTCTTTCCTGGATAACCATGATTAAGCAGTGCTCCTCTACCATGCTCTTCTGCCATGATATTCTGCCTCATCTTGGGCCCATAGTAGTGGGATCAGCCAAACATGGACGGAAACTCTGAAACCATGAGCTAAAATCAACTTTTTCTCCTCTAAGTTGTTCTTATCAGGCATTTTTTGTCACAGCAATGAAAAGCGGACTAACACACCCTGTCTGGAAATAAAAAAATAAAAAGGGTTGGGTTAGGGTTAGTGATAGGGCCCTTGCCTGGCCTGCATAAGACCCTGAATTCAATCCCCAGTACAAAAAGAAAAGAACAGTAATTTAAATATTAGTACTGCGAAAGTTGTTGGATGAAAATTGGCTCACTTTTGTCAAGCTCTCACCAAAAACTTAATAAATAAATCCAGGACGTTATGGTGGAATCCCATTCACATATTGTAAGAGTAAAAGAAATTGAAGTTAAAGTGTAAAAGACCAGGCATTGTAAAGTTTCTAAGCTGCAAGGCCTGAGTTAAAAAGTAAAGGACCAGGTATTGTTAAGTTCCTATGCTACACCCCCAAAACCTGAAATTCCTGTAGCTGTTAGGACAATACCTGGAACTGCCCAGTAAATATTCCCCCTGACCATCTGGTTGTTTAATAACTTAGGACCCTGGGCGGCCTGGCACATAGGCATCGCAGGACCTAAACCAATCAGTTTGAATGTGTACCCCGATTTAGAACTGACCTATCACCCCCGCCCAACCTGTTCCCGCCAATGAATGAACTAATCATGTTTAGGAATTGTTGTTTGATTTTCCCTCAGTGTATGATGATTTGTTAAAGGAGACTGTGATGTATGCAAAGCCCCCGCCCTCCCCCAAAAGTGTACTTAAACACTGTTCAAGCCCTGCTCGTGGCTCTGGGCTGCTCTCCCTTCTTGAGTGAGCACGGAGCCCCAGCGCACTGGATTGGATCCTCAATAAACCCCTTTTGCTGTTGCATGAGCCAGGGTCTCTTGGTAGTCTCTTCCTCTGACGTTCGCAGGACCCTTACATTTGGTGCGTTGGCCGGGAATCGCGCAGCGCCGGACAAGGAGACTCCAATGGACCCCTCTGGGGGTAAGTAAGGCGCCTCTTTTCCTTTTTTTCTTGCGCTTGCTCAGAGCTTTTTGTTCCGGTTTTCAGTTTGGGTTGGCAGAGTGGCTGCCAGCAGAGAGCGTAAGTTCCCCCTGGCGGTGGTGGACAGACGTGTCCTGAAGCCACAGGCCACGTCCCCCAAGGGACGCCTTGGAGGACTCGGGGAGGGACGGAGGTGCCCTCATCAGGCAGAGGGACGGATGTGCCCTCATCAGGTGACTCTGCTGCCAACCCGTCAGGTCTTGCCGGCTACTTTTTTCTCAGGTTGAGTTCACTGTCTGTCTTTGTGGCAGGTTTTGCCAGTTACTAGGTTCTAATCTTTGCTTCTGAACTCGTGTTAAACGTTTACTGTGTGTCCGTGTTCGGGTCACATTTGTATTGTCCCTGTCTCTGTTTGAGTAACTCTTATTATGGGACAAAGCCATTCCACGCCTCTGTCCCTGACTCTTGAACATTGGACTGATGTCCGTTCAAGGGCCCAGAATCTTTCTTTTTCAGTGAAATGCCGGACCTGGCAGACACTCTGCGCTTCAGAATGGCCCACCCTCGGAGTTGAATGGCCCCCAGGAGGGTACTTCCACCTCCCTCTAATCCGCAAAGTCAGAGATATTGTCTTTCAGCCGGGGCCGCGTGGCCATCCAGATCAACAGCCATATATTTTAAGCTGGCTGGACCTCTGTGAATTTCCTCCCGCATGGGTGAAGCCTTTCCTTGTCCCAACCCCCACTCCAATCCCTTCCCCCAGGATCCTATCACTCAAACCTTCCGCTCCTCCCCCTCGTCCCTCCGTTCTCACAGGATTTAACTTTACTGGACTCCACCCCCCCTCCTTATCCTCTACCCATGCTCCCCAAACCCCCAACTCGTCCTAGGTGACCCTCCTGCCGCTGACTCAGCCTCTCCGCTGCTAGAGGTAATTGGACCAGATCCAAGCCCTCCTGGGGATCTCCCCATGGTAGCAGCAGCAGCTCCTCCCCCACCAGAGGAAACCGGGCCAGCTAAGGGAACCCGCCGGCGGCGACTAATGGAAAACTTGGATGCCCCTGTAATGCTTCCTCTTCGTCCCTATGGTCCCACAATAGATGATGGGCACAGGGGGGAGATGCAGGCTTACCAATACTGGCCTTTCTCCTCAGATCTATACAACTGGAAAAATAACAATCCCCCTTTTTCTGAGGACCCCACCTGACTTACAGGTTTAGTCGAGTCGCTGATGTTCTCACACCAGCCCACTTGGGATGACTGCCAACAACTTCTGGGGACTCTCTTCACAACATAGGACCGAGAGAGAATCCTCTTGGAAGCCAGAAAGAATATTCTTGGACCAGATGGGCGACCAACCCAACTCCCCAACATCATTGAAGCTGGCTTCCCCTTAAACCGACCCAACTGGGACCCTAACACCTTTGAAGGTAGGGAGCATCTGTCCACTTATCGGCGGGCTCTTATAGTGGGTCTCTGAGCGGCCGCCAGGTGGCCAACTAATTTGGCCAAGGTAAGAGAGATTATACAGGGACCCAATGAATCTCCCTCAATGTTTCTGGAGAGAATTATGGAAGCATATAGGAGGTATACTCCCTTTGATCCTCAGGCAGAGGACCAAAAGGCATCTGTTGCAATCGCTTTTATTGGGCAGGCTGCCCTAGATATTAAGAAAAAGTTACAACATTTAGATGGATTACAAGATATGACCTTAAGAGGTTTAGTTAAAGAAGCTGAGAAAGTATATTATAAGAGAGAAACTGAGGAAGAGAGGGAACAGAGGAGGGAGAAGGAGAGGGAACAAAAGGAAGATGAAAGGAGCAAAAGGCAGACTAAAGCATTGGCTAAGGTCCTGGTCACAGCCACGGATAGGCCAGAAGTTAGAAAGCAGGGAGACAGGAAAGGATACCTGGGTGTCGCGACCCCCTCGCCAGCAAGGAAGACACGACACAGGATTCTTCTTTCAGCGGTTTATTCAGGCCTTAACTCTAGTCTTCTCTCAAGCGCGCGCTCCTCCACGCACCCGCACACAGCCTAATAAAGCTTACTCAAGTCCAATCAAAAGCTGCCACGTGGGGTTTTCTCATAGGGTATTGTGGGACAGCGCGCCAACTCTTCCTAATAAGGAGTTGTTTACCAAGATCCACAATGGAGACCGGCGCCATCTTCTAATGGCGGCAACGGTCTACCAACACGGCTCACCACACCTGGGCCCACGTCAAAGGCTGCCCCTGGCTTCAGATCAATGTGCCTACTGTAAAGAAAAGGGACACTGGGCCAAAGAGTGCCCCAAAAAGAGGCAGTCACGCCAGCCTGCCATGTTGACTCTAGAAGATGACTAGGAAAGTCGGGGCTCGGATCCCCTCCCTGAGCTCAGGGTAACATTTGACGTGGAGGGGACCCTAGTGAACTTTGAAGTGGATACAGGAGCAGTATATTCAGCCCTTAAGACCCCACTGGGCCCTCTATCTAATAAAAGATCCTTAGTTCAAGGGGCTAATGGCAGCAAATATCGGGCTTGGACAACAAAGAGGACTATGGACCTGGGAAAGGGAAAAGTCCATCACTCCTTCCTAGTAATCCCAGAATGCCTGGCCCCATTAATGGGCAGGGATCTGCTCACCAAACTCCGGGCTAAAATAACTTTTAACCCTGATGGTCCCCTAGTGGAATTTCTAAATCCTTCAGTAAAAACCCCCATAGTCACGGCTTTGACTATGTCAGTAGAAAATGAACATCAAATCTACACGGCCCCTGGGACTGATCAAACAGGCAAACTACCCCAGAAATGGATAAAAGATTATCCTGATGCCTGGGCAGAGACTGCTGGGTTAGGTCTAGCCATAAAACAACCTCCAGTAGTAGTAGAATTAAAAGCCTCTGCCTCTCCAATCAGTGTTAAACAATATCCTCTAAGCAAAGAAGCTAGGGATGGGATAAGGCCCCATATTCAGAAATACCTGGCTCTTGGGGTCCTAAGGCCCTGTCAATCGGCCTGGAATACCCCCCTGCTACCAGTAAGAAAACCAGGAACTGGGGACTACCGTCCTGTTCAAGATCTAAGAGAGATCAACAACAGAGTGCAGGACATTCACCCCACGGTACCCAATCCATATAATTTGCTTAGCACTCTGAATCCGGAGCGAAAATGGTACACTGTGCTGGACTTAAAAGATGCTTTCTTCTGCTTGCACCTGCATAAGGACAGTCAGTTGCTGTTTGCTTTCGAATGGGTAGACCCAGAAACAGGAACATCGGGCCAACTAACCTGGACTAGACTCCCACAGGGGTTCAAAAACTCTCCCACTCTCTTTGATGAAGCTCTCCACAGGGACCTCAACGACTTCAGAACTGCACACCCCGAAGTTACCCTACTCCAATATGTGGATGATCTGCTGCTGGCAGCCAACACCAAGGAGAACTGTGAGTCTGGGACCCAAGCACTATATCCGAGCTTGCTCAGCTTGGATATAGGGCTTCTGCCAAAAAGGCCCAAATTTGCCAACAAGAAGTAATCTTCCTGGGTTATTCTCTTAGGGGTGGCAGACGATGGCTCACTGAGCCCAGAAAACGAACAGTTGTGCAGATACCGCCCCCATCTAATAAGAGACAACTCAGAGAGTTTCTTGGGACTGCCGGCTTTTGCAGGTTATGGATTCCTGGGTTTGTGTCTCTGGCTGCCCCTTTATACCTGCTGATAAAGGGGGATGCCCAATTCCAATGGACCCCAGAACACCAACAGGCTTTTGATAATATCAAAAAGGTGCTGCTATCTGCTCCGGCCTTAGCACTCCCAGATGTAGAAAAACCCTTCACTCTACATCGAGGAGAAGAAAGGAATAGCACGGGGAATGCTCACTCAGACTTTGGGACCTTGGAAAAGGCCGTTAGCATACTTATCAAAAAAACTGGACCCAGTGGCTAGTGGGTGGCCCATTGCCTAAGAGCTATAGCAGCGGCAGCCCTTCTAATAAAGGATGCTGATAAATTAACATTGGGACAGAAGCTGACCATTATAGCCCCCCATGTCCTGGAGAGCATCATCCGTCAGCCTCCAGCAGGTGGCTATCAAATTCCAGAATAACCCATTACCAGAGCCTCTTGCTTGACAAAGACAGAATAACGCTGGGACCCCCTGCTCCACTCAACCCGGCTACACTGCTGCCGGAAGAATCATCAGGACCTGTCGCTCATGATTGTCAACACATACTGGCAGAGGAGACTAGTGTACGATGAGACTTAAAGGATCAGCCACTGCCTCGCCCTGAGGTCGTATGGTTTACGGACGGGAGCAGCTTCCTCCAAGATGGTAAGTGGTGGGCTGGAGCAGCAGTAGTTAGCAAAACTAATGTCATCTGGTCCTCTGGCCTCCCAGAAGGGACATCAGCTCAAAGAGCAGAACTAATTGCCCTTACGAAAGCACTGGAGCTAGCAACAGGCAAAAGGGCCACCATATACACTGATAGCTGCTATGCATTTGCCACTGCTCATGTGCACGGGGCTATTTACCAGCAAAGGGGGCTATTAACCTCTGCCGGGAAGGAAATAAAGAACAAAGATGAGATCCTCCACCTTCTCTCGCAGTAAAAGGCCCTAAAGAACTAGCTATAGTGCACTGTCAGGGGCACCAGAAGGGGAACGACCCTGTGGCAGTTGGAAACAGATGGGCAGATGAGGAAGCTAAGTTGGCAGCCCTAAGCGGAGTGACCCTGTTAACTGTTTCCATGCCGGGGAACAACAACCAGGAGACTTGGCTGCACAGGAACATTCAGGTAACTTATCGTCTGGGGAAACAGACACAGAACTCTGGGATCCTACAGAGCCAAGTTTACAATTTCAAAAAGCCCAACTTTACATCAAAGATGTACACCAGCTCACCCATTTAGGCTCAAAGAAGTTACAGGCACTCTTAAAGGACAAAAGAAAGGACTTATTGTTGACTGACTCACAGAGGAAAGAAATAGCTGAGCAGGTGACCAGAGCTTGTCAAGTCTGCCAATTAGTTAATGCATACCCATCCAAGCTTCCTGTAGGGAAGTGCTTACGAGGGACCAGACCCAGACAGTTCTGGGAAGTGGACTTTACTGAAATTAAGCCAGCAAGGTATGGACTTAAGTATCTCCTAGTCTTTGTAGATACTTTTTCAGGATGGGTTGAAGTCTTCCCCACAAAGAAAGAAATGGCTCAGATGGTGGTCAAAACGATTCTAGAAGACATCTTTCCAAGATTCGGATTGCCTAAGGTAATGGAGTCCAACAACGGACCGGCGTTTGTGGCCCAGGTAAGTCAGGGATTGGCCAGGACCCTGGGGATTAATTGGAAGTTACATTGTGCTTATAGACCCCAGAGCTCAGGACAGGTAGAAAGGAAGAATAGAACCATCAAAGAGACCTTAACGAAATTAAGCTTGGAGACCGGCATAAAAGATTGGACTATGCTCCTACCTTATGCACTGTTTCGTGCAAGAAATACCCCCTCCGCCTCTTTGTGTAACCTCACCCCCTATGAAATTCTCTATGGTGCCCCTCCTCCAGTAAGGGATCTAACCCCAACCCTGAGACTTAACGATTCCTTTCACACCCCCTTGCTTAACAGACTTAAAGCCCTTGAACAAACCCAGCGATACCTGTGGAAACAGTTGGCCACTGCCTATCACCCTGGAGATGAGGGGACCCCACACCGATATCAAGTGGGAGACTTCGTCTACGTGAGACGACATCAGGTGTCATCCCTGGAACCCCGCTGGAAAGGACCATACCAGGTGCTGCTTATAACTCCTACGGCAGTGAAAGTGGATGGGATCGCTTCCTGGATCCATGCCTCTCATCTTAAGCCTGCGCCCTGTCCAGACTCCGGCTGGAAACTGGAACAGACTGGTAACCCTCTCAAGTTGCGTGTCCGTCGTGTGGGTAGGACTATGGATTCTTCCCCTGACCACCAGCAGTCCTAATCCCCATCAGCCTGTTCAGCAACAGTGGCAAGTTATAAATCCCACTGGACAAGTAATATGGTCTATTTCACATACAGCCCCCTTATGGACTTGGTGGCCGTCTCTCCACCCGGACATTTGTCAACTAGCCATAGGCCTCTCTGACTGGGACCTCCCTGACATAGAGGACCCCACACAGATTCCGCTCAACCCCAAACCAGGGCAACATTCCCCACGGGGTCACCATATGCATTATGGATGTCATCGCCCTCATCATAGGTATAGACTAGCCAGTCTTGATTATTATGTGTGCCCAGCTGATTTCCGAAACCGCAAGCAGGCCCGAACCTGTGGAGGGCCCAGTGACTTTTATTGCAAATCTTGGGGTTGTGAACAAACGGGAGCTGCATGGTGGAAACCAAACTCCCCAGACAGCATGATTCAGGTAGGGCGAAATGACACCTGGATACACCCTAGGAACTGTTTAACTAGCCTAGTGTCAAGCACTCGCTGTGGAAAAAATAGTCTATGTAACCCCCTCAATATAACTTTCACTTCCAAAGCAAGGGGCTACCTCAGGATGACCTGGCTTACAGGAAATACCTGGGGAATGCGATTCGATGTTTATGGCCCCACTTATGACTTTGGCCTCTGGTTCACCATCCGACTTAAGCAGGAAGAAAATCCCACAGCAATAGGGCCCAATCCCCTCAAGCCAGGAATTAAGCATCCCAAACCTCCCATGCCTAGAACTACCAGAACCCCTCTACCATCTCATTCCTCCCGGTTTCCGTCTTTGCCTACTTCCCCAGTCCGGAGTATAGCTGACTCCTCCCCCTGGGAATTGATTAAAGGAACTTTCACAGTACTGAACTCCACACAGCCAGATCTCACCCAATCCTGCTGGCTGTGCCTCTCTGCCGCGCCCCCCTATTATGAAGGGATAGCAGTTAATGGGACTTATGCTGTGAAGACGCAGAGTTCCACCTGTAGTTGGGGCGAAAATCCAAAGTTAACTCTCCCAGAAGTAACCAGAGCAGGTTTATGTCTAGGGTCCCCGCCCAAAAGTAAACAACACATATGTACCCAGACAGGAGAAATCAATGCCACGCAGGGCTTTCTAGTCCCTAAAAAAGGAACCTGGTGGGCATGTGACTCAGGATTAACTCCTTGCATTTCAGCCCAGGTGTTTGACAGTTCTGTAAACTATTGTGTCATGGTGCAAATACTCCCCAGGGTGCTTTATCATGATGCAGAATAATTTGAAGGTCTAGTAGGGGGAAAAACAACCCGTTTCCACCGGGAATCAGTGTCCCTCACTCTAGCCATCCTATTAGGAATAGGAGCTGCTGCAGGAGTAGGTACGGGAGCAGCCGCTATGATCCGGGGGTCACAACAAATGGCCTAGTTAGAAACAGCAGTAGATCAGGACTTGAAGACATTAGAGACCTCTATCACAGCCTTGCAGGAGTCTTTAACCTCTCTCTCTGAGATTGTTTTGCAGAACAGGCGGGGGTTAGATCTCCTCTTTATGAGGGAAGGAGGCCTCTGTGTAGTACTAAGGGAAGAATGTTGTTTTTATGCTGACCATACTGGAGTTGTAAAAGAATCCATGAGTAAATTAAGAAAACGCCTTGAAGAGTGCCAGAGAGAAAGGGAAACTCAACAAGGGTGGTTTGAGTCTTGGTTTGCCCCGTCCCCCTGGTTAACTACACTCCTATCAGCCCTAGCTGGACCCTTGATCATTCTTATGCTGTTACTGACTGTGGGACCCTGTTTGCTTAACCGTATAGTTTCTTTCCTCCAGGCTCAGATTGGACAGGTGGAACTCATGGTAATCAGACAGCAATATGCTCCACTGGCAGTAATGGAAAATGAGACCCCTTAATAATTATGATCTATCACTTTTAAGATTAAAAGTAGTCAGAAAAAGGAGTGGGGAATGTAAGAGTAAAAGAAATTGAAGTTAAAGTGTAAAAGACCAGGCATTGTAAAGTTTCTAAGCTGCAAGGCCTGAGTTAAAAAGTAAAGGACCAGGTATTGTTAAGTTCCTATGCTACACCCCCAAAACCTGAAATTCCTGTAGCTGTTAGGACAATACCTGGAACTGCCCAGTAAATATTCCCCCTGACCATCTGGTTGTTTAATAACTTAGGACCCTGGGCGGCTTGGCACATAGGCATCGCAGGACCTAAACCAATCAGTTTGAATGTGTACCCCGATTTAGAACTGACCTATCACCCCCGCCCAACCTGTTTCCGCCAATGAATGAACTAATCATGTTTAGGAATTGTTGTTTGATTTTCCCTCAGTGTATGATGATTTGTTAAAGGAGACTGTGATGTATGCAAAGCCCCCGCCCTCCCCCAAAAGTGTACTTAAACACTGTTCAAGCCCTGCTCGTGGCTCTGGGCTGCTCTCCCTTCTTGAGTGAGCACGGAGCCCCAGCACGCTGGATTGGATCCTCAATAAACCCCTTTTGCTGTTGCATGAGCCGCGGTCTCTTGGTGGTCTCTTCCTCCGACGTTCGCCGGACCCTTACAATATGTCTGATAATAAAAACTGATCACAAAAGATTCTGTCAGGGGGCTGGGGTTTTGGCTCAGTGGCAGAGTACTTGCCTTGCACATGTGAGGCACTGGGTTCTATCCTCAGCACCGCATAAAAATAAACAAACAAAATAAAGACATTGTGTCCATGTGTAACTAAGGAAAAAATTCAAAAAAAATTCTGTCAGAACTTTAGCCTTACACAAGGCCACCAAAACATTACATAGAAAATGCTTCTGTAAGGCCACCACAACATTACACAGAAAATGCTTTCTGCCCATCAATTGTCTATTTACTCTAAGACTAATGCCACCCTTATTATTGACACTTGTAACCAAGAAATATTGTTTCAAAATCTTTCTCTCCCCCCACTCCGCCTTTTTTTTTTCAGTCCTATAGATTAAACCCAGGGCACTCTATTACTTAACTACATCCCCAACCCTTTTTATTTTATTTTGAGATGGGGTCCTGCTAAATTGTCTGGACTAGTATTGAATTGACATCCTGCTGCCTTGGCTTCCCAAGATGTTCAGATTACAGGAATGTGCTACCATGTCCAGTCCAAAATGTTTCCTATAATCCTTTTTATTTCACCTTTAAAAACTTCCCCTTGCCTCTCTGTGAATTTTCCCATGTTTTCCTGTTGACAGCCACAACTTAGTCAGAATGACACCTGGCATTTTGCCAGAGGGAATGGTTGAAATGTGACCCTGCCCCGGGGAATAGGGCGGCTCCAGGATTAGGGCAGATCCTGCTGCCTCGGGCACCGGCTACTTTGGAGTTCCTGTTGAGTTCTCACAGGGTTCTGAGAGAATTGGCGCACGGAGCCCGGTGGGGGGAGTATGTTCCCGGAAAGTGTGTGTAGAGTGCTGGTGAGAGTTGGGGAATAAAGAGTTGCTGTTTGAACCTACAAGGCTTTGTGGCGGCTCAGTTATTTTGTGCCCAGCCAGACTGCGGCATTTTCCTATGGCATGTGTATTCCCATTGCAATGCTCTGCTATTCCCAATTACATAAAATTATTCTTTGGAAAATCTCCAATTTTCAGTTGCCAGTGTTTTCATTTAGGGTTAGGATTTTCTATTCCTATGGATTTTGCTATTTCTAGAATGTTATATAAATAGAATCAAATAGAATGTAGCTCTATGAATCTGACTTCTTGAATTTAGCATGATGCATTTAAATTAAAATTTGGCCAGGCGTGGTGGCACGTGCCTATAATCCCAACAACTCAGAGGCTGAGGCAGGAAGATTGTATGTTCAAAGACAGCTTCAGCAATTAGTAAGACCCTGTCTCAAAATAAAAATGAAAAGGGATGAGTGAAGGGAAAGGGAGGAACGAGAGACGGGTAAACGAGAAAAGAAAGATGGAGACCAGGTAGAGATACACAAAATTGACAAATAAAGGCCATCTCTCTACAGGAGAGAGAGGCAATACAGGCTTGGGTTCTGGGACTTTTATGGGGGAGGCTCAGGAATCAGAGCAGGGTGGGTCCTAATGTGGGTGGTTAAAGGTTGGATTGGTATGAGGGAGCAGTAACCCTTTCTCAGAAATGCCTTTGGGCGGGAAAGCAAAACTTTTTCTTTAAAATAGTGGCTGTCACTTAAGATTGGCCATCCAGATGCTAAACAAGGACCTTATACTGTGGATATTGCTCAATGGTTAAGCACTCGTGGGTTCAATCCCTGGTATTGAAAAATTAAAAAATAAAATTGGTGTTGGGGATGTAGCTCAGTGGTAGGTAGCATATGAAACCCTAGATTAAATTCCCAGCACACACACACACACACACACATACAAAACACACACACACAAACACACAATCATCATGTTGTTCCCTGTTTCCTCTTTAATCCCTGAGCAAATTTCCACTGTAATAATGTATCATAATCTGATTACCCTTTTACCAATTAAATAACATTTGAGTTGTTTCCAGTTGGGGCAATTTTGAATAAAGGTACTATAAAGTCATGTACAACTATCTGTATGAACATGTTTCCATTTCTCTGGGGAAAATACCAAGGTGTAGAATTGCTAGCTTATATAGTTACTATGTAATATTTTTGACTTTATAAGAAGCTGGTAAATTGTCCTGTGACTCTTTAATTTCAAGTTTGGAAAGATAGCAATCATCACCTTAACCAAGTGATCAAATTTAACATTACTAAGAGTAGGGCAACTTAACATTTTTTGTTTTTAATGTGATGTGTTAGGAATCACAGCAGCAACTATGTCTTATTCTTAGCAAAACTGTTACCAATCAAACTTATAGGTCTGTTTTTCAAACTACAAAAAAATACAGGAAGATCAAGAAACAAGTTAAAAAACACTATGGGGGGCGGGGGTATAGTTCAGTTGATAGAGAGTGCTTGTCTGGCATGCACAAGGCCCTGGGTTCAATCCCCAGCACTGGGGGGGGGGGGGCGGGAGACTATCAGGGAGCACTCAGGCAAATCCAGGAAATGGGCATTCACAAGCCTGTCTCAGTCATTTCAAAAATTAGTGGTGGGCTGGTTTATAGTTTAATCAGCAGAGCAATTGCCTAGCATGTCCAAAGCCCTGGGTTCAATCCCTAGCACCACCAAACAACAACAACAACAAAACTCAACATGGGTAGAGACAGGGCGGTAAGAAGGAATAGCAGTGGACAGTTATAGATGAAAAGAAAGTGAAAAGGCATCACTGCATCCATATGCAGTGGGCTGGGGATGTCATTCAGTATAAAGCACACAGAGAAACATAATAAAGTGTGATGCTTTGATTAGATCTTGGTTGCAAAAAGAAAAAAAAGCTATAAAAGACTTTTTCGGGAAGCCAAAAATTATGTGGACTCTATATGAGATAATATTAGGAAATAATTTTCTTGAATGTTATAATGACATTATAAAAGAAAATGTTCTTATTTCTAGGAAATATACTCTAAATGTAGGAATAAAATATGATTCTGCAACTTTTAAGTGATTCAGTAAATTTAAAAATAAATAAAACAACTATAGTAAATGTAAATAGTTGTTGAATTTAGGTATTGATTACATAGGTATTCATTGTAATGCTCTTTTCCCGCCCATGCTAGGTGAACGCTGTACCATTGAGCCACAATCCCAGCCCCTGAAAATCTTATTATTTTTATTTCTAGAAGTTTTATTTACAATCTTATTCATTACTTTAAAAAATTCTTGTTTCTTGCAAATGCTTTCAAGATAGCACTGTTTGATTTCTTTAAACATGGTAGTCATATTTTATAATCCTTGTCTGAGGAGACCATGTGAAGATAAAGAGAATTACCACATCTAGGCCAAGAAAGGGGGGCCTCAAGATGAAACCAAACCTACCAGGGCTGGGGATGTGGCTCAAGCGTTAGCACGCTCGCCTGGCATGCATGCAGCCCGGGTTCGATCCTCAGCACTACATACAAACAAAGATGTTGTGTCTGCCGAAAAATAAAAAATAAATATTAAAAAATTCTCTCTCTCTCAAAAAAAAAGAGAAGTACATTCAACAATCTAACAACAACAAAAAAAAAAAAAAAAAAAAAAAAACCAAACCTACCAACACCTTGATCTTAGACTCCCAGATTTCAGAACTGCAGGAAAACTGTGAATGTGTAAAGGTCGGGCGAACGTCAGAGGAAGAGACCACCAAGAGACTGTCTCATGCAACAGTAAAGGGTTTATTGGGGGTCCAGCATGCTGGGGCTCCAAGCTCACCTCGAAGGGGTAAAGAGCAAAGAGCCCCAAGAACAGCTTGAGCACAGCTTATATACATTCTTTGGAAAGGACTTCACATACAGCATAGCAAATCATCACACGCTGCGGGAAAATCAAACAACGCTTAACCATGATTAGTACATTCACTGGCGGGAACAAGTCGGGTAGGGGTGATTGGTCAGCACAAAGAAGGGTATACATTCGAACTGATTGGCTTAAGTCCTGAGGTGTGTACGTGCAGGACTGCACGGTTTCTGGGTGGGGAGGGGGTTGTTTTTACAGAGCAACCAGATGGTCAGGGGAGATTTCAACATACATTTCAGTGGCTTTTCCGGGAGTTGTTTTAAACTTCCACATGAATTTCAGGTTCCAAATACAACTTAACAGAACTTAAAAACTTTACAGAACTTGAAACAAATCTTATCTTTTACATTTCAAATTCTTTAACCTTTCAAATGGAACCACCCTATGACTCAGTATCCTCAGTATTTATCCTAAAGAATTAAAGTCATCATACTGTAACAATATATGCATACTACATTTATAGAAGCACAATTCACAACAGTCAAACTATGGAAACAGCTTAGGTGTCCACTGATGGTGGATCCATTCCTGTGATTTAAGCCACCCAGTCTATAGTATTTTATTATGGCAGCCCTAGCAAACTAATACAATTCCATACCTGTAGTAACTCTGGCCTTTCACTTCTTTATTCCATACCCCATGGTGCTGCACTTTGACTACATATCCCTTGTGGCTCTGAAACTTACATGTTTTTTTTTTTTCCCAACCTTATCCCTGACCTCCTCCCTGATTTTCTTTTCCTGTTGAGAGCCACAGCCGAAGGGGCCCCAGCAGACTTCCAGCTGCCAGCAAACTTCCAGCTGCTGGCTGGTCACGTGGGTGGAGCCAAAAAAGTCCCCCAATGAGCAGCTCCGTGGTCTGAAAGGGCAGGGAAACAGCCCAAAGAGCATCACCGCAGAGGAGCCAATCAGCTAGATGTTGCTCATTGGGCTGTTTCCCTGCCCTTTCAGACCATGGAGCTGCTCATTGGGGGACTTTTTTGGCTCCACCCACGTGACCCAGCCAATCGGCCTCAAGAGCAGGAGGATTGTGGGAGGTGGAGAGAGGCTTGTGTGGGAGAGAGAGGCTTGTGGGAAGCCGGTGGGGGCAGTTGGGGCTCTGAGGGTTTTTCCTGAGAGGCTGTTTTGTTTGGCGTGTGTGGTTCTAAAAATAAA